TAACTTTGGTGCAAACCTAGACAAGCTAGTAAAAGTGGCATCAAACTCCGCTACGATTGTGTCTAGTTGTTCGAGCTCTTCAAACTGTTTTCTTAAACGCTCTCTGGCTGTGGGTGGAAGATATTTCTCTTGGAAAGCATGAATGAATGCCTCCCATGTGTGCACTATACAAACTTTGGCATATTTCCACCATTGACCCGCATCCCCTTTTAATTGAAAAGCCCCTAACGTGACCCGAAGCTCATAATCTACTATATGAAACACATCAAACGTCTTCATTCTTTGTTCAAACCACTCATCCGCTAGAAGTGGGTTAGTACCGCCATAAAACTCCATAGGTTTAGATTCAAAGAACTCCTTAACTAAGGAAGAGGCCCTAGTCTCTTCCACGGGGCCCGTGCCATTTCTTCAGCCCTCAAAATGTTCATATATTCCTGAAGTGACAAGCCCATAGCACCCTGCACCTCTTGTTCGGCTATGCTAGTTCGGTTTGCTCCCTCCATATAAGGAAAACACCCTAACCACCATGATGAGGTCTACTGCAGCTTCTATCACTATGTCCAGGCATCCTATATAAGAATATGAATAAACTTAGCTTACAAATTAACCCGAACGAAACCCCACACTCTACCCGAAATGTCTACACATGTCTATACATATAACAATTCTCACAATGACCAACCACATAAACGCATATTCACATAAAGCACATACAAATTATCCTAAGATGCCAAATTGCCTCACAACATTCAAAGAATTCACGTTAGAATGGCATTGATCAGGAGCCCTCCTAACAAGACTCCTAAGAATTCATAGGCACAAACTTCATCTTAAGAGTTTAATCCCATACCCACATAATCACATCAGCAAACACAAATCAGAGTAAGCACTTATTAATATAAACATCTTTAAATCAAAGATTTCAAACTCAAATCAACCCATACTTTCTATAATACAACATAATCGAACAAAATCACAAATGATTTGACTTAAGAGAACTCCCTACCTCAAGAAGCTGAGCAACAACGAAGACCCAAGCATGAACTCCGACGAAATCGTAATCCAACCGGTCAATAACACGATATAGTCTTCTCATTCACTCCTCTTGTGTGATCTATGGTTAATACTAAGTATAAAGAGATGAAATCAAGGGTTTGAGGGCTAGGGTTTTCGGTCATGGATGAGTGAGAGAGAGAAAATGAGAGAAAGTGAGAGAAAACAAACAAAAAGTGGATTTTATACTGGCTGATCCCAAACAGACCGCTCGAGCGCAGAATGCAAACTCCTAGAAGTTCAGACTAAACAAAGGCAGACCGCTCGAGCGACCAATCCTGCGCTTGAGCGAACTTCAACATCTCCTAGAATCTCAAACCTGGAAAAGTATTGGATGACCCACAAATCCGCTCGAGCGAACAATCTGTCGCTCGAGCGAAGAGAAAAAAATTTCTAGAGTGTTACATCACTCCACCATGAGTGGCTAGTCTCCCTCTTTCTAGGGTTTTGATGAAACCTTGGCCATGTAAATAGAGTTTTAACAAAGCTTTGATTGTTTAAACGTTTTGAGCAAGTTGTATGAATGTTTTAGAAGTTTTAATTTCAATTTCTTTCTATCTCTTTCAGTATTTTACTTTATGTGATTGTTGAATGTTTTTCATATAGTGGTTTTCTTTGTGTTGTATTCAAAGTATGGGATTAGTCATGCTATGAGAAACAAGTCGTGTTGATACCGTAGTCTAGAGCGAATGACTCGTACTACTTGAGATTATTCATGCTTATACGTTGAATGCAACAATCCTCTTGATCAATGTTTCAAACTTGTAGTTGTGAAACATTAGGTAGTTCAAATCGTATTACAATTAGATGCCAATGTTAAACCCTATTTATGCAACTAGTGGTGGATTTTTTGCCCTATGATTTTTTCCAAATTGAATTATCAACCTTAATCTTTATTGTTTATTTAATTTTGTAGTTGTTATTTTAATTCTCTCTTTAATTTAATTTCCATCAATCATTCTCGTCTAAATTAATCTAGGAATCTTACTATAAAAATTAGTTGAATTCACATTAGTTCAATTTAATTTCCATCAATCATTCTCATCTAAATTAATCTAGGAACTATTAAAATTAGTTGAACTTCACATTAGTTCATATAGATCGATACCTAAACTTATCATTATTCTACAGAATTTAGGTACAATTTAGTCTTTATGTTTAGTGTGCTTAATGACCCATCAACTATTTGTATTTTCTCTATACCTTAAAGGAGGTCAATGTAATTTACCCATCATTCTATTATTTTCTTATCCAATCATGAGAGATTATTTATAAATATCAAGTGTATTATATTAAAAAACTGTGAATTATATTAAATTAGATAACTAATTTAGTCTTACTAAGAAAAACACAAAGATAACTTGAAGGAGCTCGAGAAGGCTACTGCACATGGTGCGCAACAGTTACTATTGCTCAGCCAATGGAGTCTTTTTCAAGTCTCATTTCGACAATCTGAATCGTTCACTTTTAGAAGACATCGAGTAGAATATGCCTACAAAAAGTCAAGTTAATCGAATATCGGTATTAATCTCATCAAGCCATGTTTGTATTCAAATTTATACTTAAATTTGTCATTCAATTTTTTAAATACAAATATGTTTTGATAAAAAGGATACCGATATCCGATTAACTTAAATTTTTACAAATATATTCTACTTAATATCTTCTAAAAAGTGAACAATTCAAATCATTAAAATAAGACCTGAAAAAAGTTTCATTGGGCGCATAACAACAAGTTCAGACTAAACAAAGGCAGACCGCTCGAGCGACCAATCCTGCGCTTGAGCGAACTTCAACATCTCCTAGAATCTCAAACTTGGAAAAGTATTGGATGACCCACAAAACCGCTCGAGCGAACAATCTATCGCTCGAGCGAAGAGAAAAAAAGTTCTAGAGTGTTACATCACTCCACCATGAGTGGCTAGTCTCCCTCTTTCTAGGGTTTTGATGAAACCTTAGCCATGTAAATAGAGTTTTAACAAAGCTTTGATTGTTTAAACGTTTTGAGCAAGTTGTATGAATGTTTTAGAAGTTTTAATTTCAATTTCTTTCTATCCCTTTCAGTATTTTACTTTATGTGATTGTTGAATGTTTTTCATGCAGTGGTTTTCTTTGTGTTGTATTCAAAATATGGGATTAGTCATGCTATGAGAAACGAGTCGTGTTGATACCGTAGTCTAGAGCGAATGACTCGTACAACTTGAGATGATTCTTACTTATACGTTGAATGCAACAATCCTCTTGATCAATGTTGCAAACTTGTAATTGTGAAACATTAGGTAGTTCAAATCGTATTACAATTAGATGCCAATGTTAAACCCTATTTATGCAACTAGTGGTGGATTTTTTACCCTATGATTTTTTCCAAATTGAATTATCAACCTTAATCTTTATTGTTTATTTAATTTTGTAGTTGTTATTTTAATTTTCTCTTTAATTTAATTTCCATCAATCATTCTCGTCTAAATTAATCTAGGAATCATACTATAAAAATTAGTTGAATTTCACATTAGTTCAATTTAATTTCCATCAATCATTCTCATCTAAATTAATCTAGGAATCTTACTATTAAAATTAGTTGAATTTCACATTAATTCATATGGATCGATACCTAAACTTGTCATTATTCTACAGAATTTAGGTACAGTGTAGTCTTTATTTTTAGTGTGCTTAACGACCCTTCAACTATTTGTATTTTCTCTATACCTTAAAGGAGGTCAATGTAATTTACCCATCATTTTATTATTTTCTTATCCTGTCATGAGAGATTATTTATAAATATCAAGTGTATTATATTAAATTAAATAATTATAATTAATTATATTAAAAAACTGTGAATTATATTAAATTAGATAACTAATTTAGTCTTACTAAGAAAAAAACAAAGATAACTTGAAGGAGCTCGGGAAGGCTACTACACATGGTGCGCAACAGTTACTATTGCTTAGCCAATGGAGTCTTCTTCAAGTCTCATTTCGACAATCCGAATCGTTCATTTTTAGAAGACATCGAGTAGAATATGCCTACAAAAGTTCAAGTTAATCGAATATCGGTATTAATCTCATCAAATCATGTTTGTATTCAGATTTATACTTAAATTTACCATTCAATTTTTTAAATACAAATATGTTTTAAGAAAAGGAATACCGATATCCGATTAACTTAAATTTTTACAAATATATTCTACTTAATATCTTTTAAAAAGTGAACGATTCAAATCATTAGAATAAGACCTGAAAAAAGTTTCATTGGACGCATAACAACGATTGCTGCGCATGGTGCACAACAACCTCTCCTTAATAAAGGAGTCGTTAATTTTTTTATTTAAAAAAACTTAATCTTTACTTATGTGTGTAAGAGTGATTAACTAAACTAACTCAATTTAAATTGAACTTAAGTACAACCACATTGGAGAGCCAAGGAGGGTACAAAGGGTATCTGCAGGCCCTCCCGTAGAGATTGAGCCACAGCCACTCCCAAGTCAATAACCGTCTTCCTCTGATATCCTTAATCTTCTGTTTAATGGAATATTGCTTAGAAAAGATTACAACCCATTTTTTTGCCTTCTATTTTCTTTTTTTTTTGTCGCCAAAGGTATTGCCGACCGTCTATTTGCGACAAACCCGGCGACTAAAAGATTTTGTCGGGGAAAGTGGAAATTTGACATTTGGCGACTAAAAAGGGACTTTTGGCGACTAAAAATTTAGTCGCCAAAGGTGTATTTTCTTGTAGTGATTGGAGAGCCAAGGAGGGAGGGTCCAAAGGGTATCTGCAGGCCCTCCCGTAGGGATTGAGCCACAGCCACTCCCAAATCAATCACCGTCTTCCTCTGACATCCTTAATCTTCTGTTTAATGGAATATTACTTAGAAAAGATTACAACCCATTTTTTTGCCTTCTATTTTCTTTTGCTCTTTCTTTCCAAACAACCACAAATCAAGCACTATATGAACAAAAAAAAAAGAGGCAAGTGTACTACGAAAGAGCACACCTTATATTTATAAACTAGTACAGAACATCAAATATGAAAGAGCACACCCCCCAGAAATTAATCCAGCTTACAATCATGTTAAAGCTTACTAAACAATCTGGAGTCAATATTATATTCTTATAATTTTACTAAGCTAATTTATTAAGCAACAGCAACAGTTTCTGCAGGCTTTGCCTCGGGTTCAGCTGGTGCTCCTTCAGCTGGTGCTTCGGCTTCCCAGAAGGTGGTTTTCTTTCCAGTCTTGGAAACTGTCTGGAGAACTGCTTCTGGCTCCACATTGCCTTTCACAGTCACTTTCTGCTCCTTCAGATCAATGTCAAATGACTCCACGCCTGAAATTGTTAAAACAATGCAACCGGTGAATATCAACAAAACAATATAACAATGATGGGTTCGGGCTTATGGTGAAAATAGACATCATGAAAGGAGCAGAAACCAGTAGGGAAAATTTTAACATTGTTTAATATAATATTGAACCAATCTTTGTTTAATCCAAATCACTGCCAAAATTTCTCAATTAGTTTAACCAAAGTAGATAAAAGTGTGATGAATGCTTATTACCAAACAAAATCAGAATATTCAGCTAAACATAGTCTAATTGCAGACAAAGCTTTTCCAGTTACCAAATCTTTTTATACACTTAAATATAATATATATATATATATATATAAACTACTGAATTCCAGCCAAAAGAAGAAACAACACATCATGTCAAATGCACATCCTGCAAACTGATCACATACTTTTCGGCCAAATACCAAATTGGAGGACCTTCAACAGTTCATCAAAATTACACACCATACATATGCTTTTTGACTTTGGTATTAGATAGGGCATCATTTGGTCAATCAAGCCAACAATTTCATGACTAATATGTTCTCTAATCAGCAACAGGTTCTACATACACCTGAGACACCAAGATGTAATGAACTAGTTGCGCTACATTTCCCCATCAAATATACCATTTATATAACTTTAGGATTCAGAAAAAGGAACTTCAGTTTATTTATTTATTTTTTGTGTGCACACAAGTGCATACACAAAAAACAAAAAAATCAGTTCTTTTTTTTTTCCCCCACTAGAATCTAAGCAATATGCATATATAAATGGGAAGCTTGACTGACCAGCGAAGCAAACCCCAAGAATTTTTTATATCACAAATTTATCATACTGCTTAAGAAAAAGAAAGAAAATACAAATTTATCATACCGTCCATTTTGCCTAAAACCCGCTTCACGGCACCAACACAGCCTTGACATGACATGCCAACCTTGAGGACAACAGTCTGCACTCGGAACAAATGGTTTTCAGGTTGGTAACACAAGGAAAAACCATCAATCAGTAAAATACATCAGTATAGCACTCAAAAATCATTGGACCCTCACACACACACACACACACACACACACACACACACACACACACACACACACAGAGCAGTGGAAATGTAGACATGTCAGCTTACAATGTCTAGGATTAAATGAGGAAAAAGCTCCATTTCCATTTAATATAAAACAAATTATCATGGAAATTACAGAACTGATTAGTAATAGTTGGTTGTAACTCTCAAAGAATTTGACTCCACATAACATTAACCTAGCGCTTTTCTTAGGCCATACCCTTTAGCTTAGTTAGACATGATATTAATTTTAAGATGTCAACCTCAATCCCCTCATATAAGGAACCTCTGGGAATAAAAAATCTTCTCGACTATACAACCATTGGGTCTCATATAAAAGATGTCTTGGGATAAATATCATATAAAATATATAATTTCAGAGATAAGAAAAACATTCTCAATAAATGGGATAGAACAATTATTTTCTTTAAAACCATGACCCAGGTCACTATTACCCCTCTCCTATACTCGTAAAGTAAGATAATTTAATGGAAAATATAAAGTTTGTTCATTATTTCCTCTAATGCCGTATGTAGGAAAATGGATCCGAAGAATTTAGGCTGTGTTTGGTTAAGCTTTCCAAACTCAATTCCACCCATTGGTTTGAGCCATGTGTTTGGTTACAATTTTCAAAAATTGATTCCACACCCATCTATGAAAACACATCTATTCAGTCATCCTCTCGGACGCCTAGCTGGTCGACCGGAACAGTGTTCGTGCTTGTTTTTTCTTTTTCTTTTTTTTTCTTTTGTTTGCACCTGTTATTTTAATATTTTAAATAAAAAATATTTGTCGAATTTTTTTAAAATTTTTTATGAGCTTTGAATAGAATTTTGAGTTGTGTATTTGGTTATAAATTGTAAATTTTTGAATCAAATATCATATGTCACATCACTCAATTCAAAACTCTTTTCAAAATTCTTTTCAAAACTCATAATCAAACAAATTTTTCACACTCAAATCATAATTTCAAAACTCATATGCTCAAAATACAACTCTATTCTCAAATCATAATTTTAAAGCTCTACCAAATGCAACCTTAGATATTGTTTCCATAATTCAAACCAACTTCATACCAGCCTACCCAACCATGACAACTAACAAATAACCAGCCAGATATGGTGAATTCAAACTAACCATCTTTGATCTAGCAAGCAACCAGTATCATTCAATGAGATTTAAACACGCATCATAACATGAACAATCACAACAACAAATTGCATACCCAAGTACAAACTTTCAAGCACAACCTCCATGGTTCCAGTTAAAAGGGATAGTCTTGTCAAGCTGTTGCTCTATTAGCAGTAATTCCATTAATGCCAACAACTACTTTTCTAGATACGATTTACTCAAAAATAGCCTTCAAATTTACAATCAAGCGCTCAACACACACCATGAACATGCACACAATTTAATGATAATAGTAGAACAATCATCTGACCCAAAACTGAGGGTTGTTTTGGAAATTGAATTTTTTTTATTTTTTACGAAAAGACATGAAGAAAACAGAAAAAAGAGTTTCACTTTTTTGCAGAGATTTTTGGGTTTTAGCTAAAATTCAAAGTTGCCAAAATAGACAACTTAGTTATAAAATCATACAAATTTCCATCCCAAAATATTCAATTGAGCTCCATCATTAAAAATAATAAATAAATAAATCTACAAACTTATTCGGATCTCCATTTTTGGATCTAGAAGTTATACACAAATTTCAATCTCAAAAAAAAAAAAAAAAAACAGAATTGGATTTTATGCACCCTGTCTAAATCCCAATTCATCCATCAGCGTATTACACGATTATAAATTCAAATCGATTCAATTGAAAACACCACAAGAGCATATGAATCCAACGCGACAACACCAGAAAAAAATTAATTCGATGCAGCAAAGATGCACAAACACATGTACACATACATAACTATAAAAACCCTAATTTCAAGAGAAAGTAATCAATTACCTGAGACATGATGACGATGAATATTCAAAACAAAAATAGAATTGACGAAGAAAACTAGAAAGTATTATTGGGTTTGTTGTTTCGAGCGGAGACTTTGAATAGGCTTTTATAGATGAAGAAGTAGAATAAAAAATGGGGGAGGTAAAAAGTATTGGGTATGGGCGTGTCATAATTTTGTGGTGTAAGCGATGACCTGTGCGACGGCTGGATTGGGTTGACCACACGTATTCAATTCACATCACACGCACAACCACCGTTGGTTCGTCTATCAAAAGGCCTGGTTTTGAAAATTAATTATTTTAGTTAATTTTTTAATAAAATAATGTGAAAAAAATTAAAATAAAATTAATTTTTTGATAATAACTTTTTAATTTTTTAACTATTATAACTAATTTCCAAAATTTGTGCTCGATACTTTGGTTAAGCCGTGGTTTGGTATCTAGCTACAAAACAATTTTATTTTTTAATGATTTTATTTTTAGTAAATTTTTTTTTAGTAATTTATGTTAAAAAATTTCAATTTTTTGAATTTAAAAAGTTAAAAATTATATATTTTAAAATTTACTGAAGACATTTTTTTTTTGTTTTAAAGAAAATCAGCTAATAAAGTATTTAAATTTTTCTTTTTTTTATAACAATTCACTAATTTTTTTTAAAAAAAATCAATACATTTAAAATAAAAGTAAAAAAAAAAGTCAAAACCATGCCTAAATAGTATTGCAAATGAACCGAACTGTTTGCGAACTCGTTCGGCTAAGCTCGTTAAGGGTTCAGTTCGGCTCGTTTGAATAAGCTCATCAATAACTCTTCAATCTCAACTCATTTATCTTTATTTAAATTATATATTAAATATATTATTTATATATCAAATAATATATAAATAATAACATAAATATATTATTTATGTATTACACAATATAAATAATATTTTTTATTTAAATAATAATAATAATAATAATAATAATAATAATAATTTTATCGAGCCAAACTCGAGTTTCATTAATATGAAGAACCGAGCCGAGCTCAAGCTCAATAAACAAACTCAATAAGCTCAAGCTCAATAAACAAACTCAATAAGTAAATAAACCGAGCTCGAACTTAACAAAACTTGACTTAACTCAACTCATTTACAGTCTATGCCTAAAGAAGTTTAGAAAAGTAATGCTAGACCAACCTATATTTAGGTAGACAAATGTTAGATATTCACAGTTACACTCATGATGATGTCATAAAAAATTTGCATTTAATATAATTAAATGTGAGACAAATAAAAAAATTAACATTTATTATGGCACACCATAATCAATTTTTTTTTTTTTCAAAAAGAATTTCAAACATTTTACTATTTGGATGTCATCTCAAGTAGCTCCACACATGTCCTCCTTTACTAAATTCTATTTGATGGGTCACATACACTCCACAAGAGGTGCTTAAGAGCATCCGTATCAGTCTAAATTTTGAATTAAATTACAATTTAAAATTTACTTTTGTATCTTAATTAGTTTCTTTTTTATGTATACATTCTATCAAACTCTTTATTTTAAAATTCTATTTCATTAAAATATATTTTTTTATTCTTTTATCTTTTTCAATTTAAATATATGATGGATTAGTCCCAAAAGAACAGCAAACAACATACAAACAGCAGCAACACAATCACACCGGCCGGACGACCGGTCATGCCAATTTTGAACATTTTCCTTCTTCTACTATAGGCACTCACGGGACATCTGGGTGGATGACCGGTTTAAAGATTTTTTAATTTTACTCCAGAAAATATAATAAAAAATAAATAAACCTATGAACAGTGTCTCGCTTAATCAGGTGAGGAACTGTAGCAAATACAAAATGAATGGTTGGTATAAAGAGTCTGATGGAGTACGTATTTACAGCTCTTGCTCTCTACAATAGATTCAAAAGCATTGTAAAAAGCCTGATGTGGATACTCTAAATTTGATATGAAATTGATATAAACATGTCAATTTTGAAACTTTTCATTGTTGTAATGGTTCATTTCAAATATTTATTACTTTTATTCTCTTCTTTTCTTTTCTTTTTCCAAGTAAATTAAAGTATAAAATAATAAATTTGTAACATTTAGTGGGGTCTTTCTTTTAGAAATGTTAAATTTGCATATAAACCCTAAACCCTAATTTGTCATTTAAAAGTCTTCAGAAAAATTTTACATACTTTTCAAAAGCTTGAGTAGAATTGCTCTAAAACACTATTAAAAGTTTCAAACCAATCACATATTATCATGACCCGAACCCGCCCTTATGGATTAAGGTCATAACCGGCCAGCAATTACGAGATTACCTGCGACCTCAAACAAAATCAGACATGTATTAGGGGCCAAACGGCAGTAGACCTAAAAATTTTGTCCAACAAGCTGTGCTTACATGGGAAAACAAACATTCCAGAAATAGTTTATAATAACTCACGCATGAAGTCAAAATTAACATCTTATGTGTCCAGGAACTTTCAACATGCTATCAGCCAAACAAAAGCTTATATACATGGTGATCCAACATATTCACCAAGGTAACAAAAGGGAATCAAAAATAAAAGAAACAAAGCAATGTCTCATGCATGAGACGTTTGGGCTGACTCCACAAAAACTCGACTCCTCTCATGTCTTTTACTGGGACTGGGTTTGGATATTTCTTTGCTCCCGAGCCGAGCTCAAGCTCAATAAACAAACTCAATAAGTAAATAAATCGAGCTCAAACTTAACAAAACTCGGCTTAACTCGACTCATTTACAGTCTATGCATAAAGAAGTTTAGAAAAGTAATGCTAGACCAACCTATATTTAGGTAGACAAATGTTAGATATTCACAATTATACTCATGATGATGTCATAAAAAATTTGCATTTAATATAATTAAATGTGAGACAAATAAAAAAATTAACATTTATTATGGCACACCGTAATCAATTTTTTTTTTTTTTTTTTCAAAAAGAATTTCAAACATTTTACTACTTGGATGTCATCTCAAGTGGCTCCGCACATGTCCTTTACTATGGGTCACATACACTCCACTAGAGGTGCTTAAGAGCATCGTATCAGTCTAAATTTTGAATTAAATTACAATTTAAAATTTACTTTTGTATTTTAATTAGTTTCTTTTTTATGTACACATTCTATCAAATTCTTTATTTTAAAATTCTATTTCATGAAAATATATTTTTTTATTCTTTTATCTTTTTCAATTTAAATATATGATGGATTAGTCCCAAAAGAACAGCAAACAACATACAAACAGCAGCAACACAATCACACCGGCCGGACGACCGGTCATGCTAATTTTGAACATTTTCCTTTTTCTACTATAGGCACTCACGAGACATCAGGGGGACATCTGGATGGATGACCAGTTTAAAGATTTTTTAATTTTACTCCAAAAAATATAATAAAAAATAGATAAACCTATAAACAGTGTCTCGCTTAATCAGGTGAGGAACTGTAGCAAATACAAAATGAATGGTTGGTATAAAGAGTCTGATGGAGTACGTATTTATAGTTCTTGCTCTCTACAATAGATTCAAAAGCATTGTAAAAAGCCTGACGTGGATACTCTAAATTTGATATGAAATTGATATAAACATGTCAATTTTGAAACTTTTCATTGTTGTAATGGTTCATTTCAAATATTTATTACTTTTATTCTCTTCTTTTCTTTTCTTTTTCCAAGTAAATTAAAGTGTAAAATAATAAATTTGTAACATTTAGTGGGGTCTTTCTTTTAGAAATGTTAAATTTGCATATAAACCCTAAACCCTAATTTGTCATTTAAAAGTCTTCAGAAAAATTTTACATACTTTTCAAAAGCTTGAGTAGAATTGCTCTAAAACACTATTAAAAGTTTCAAACCAATCACATATTATCATGACCCGAACCCGCCCTTATGGATTAAGGTCATAACCGGCCAGCAATTACGAGATTACCTGCGACCTCAAACAAAATCAGACATGTATTAGGGGCCAAACGGCAGTAGACCTAAAAATTTTGTCCAACAAGCTGTGCTTACATGGGAAAACAAACATTCCAGAAATAGTTTATAATAACTCACGCATGAAGTCAAAATTAACATCTTATGTGTCCAGGAACTTTCAACATGCTATCAGCCAAACAAAAGCTTATATACATGGTGATCCAACATATTCACCAAGGTAACAAAAGGGAATCAAAAATAAAAGAAACAAAGCAATGTCTCATGCATGAGACGTTTGGGCTGACTCCACAAAAACTCGACTCCTCTCATGTCTTTTACTGGGACTGGGTTTGGATATTTCTTTGCTCACCTACACACACATAAATGAGAGTGAGCGATAGCCCAATGAATAATATCTAAATAAAGGAGTACATGAATGAAATTTGTAACAGTCATATTAAACAACCTTAGGCCCATTCATGATTCTATCTAATACATCAAACGGCTTTGGGCCCAAACGTATCAAACGGCCTCAAGCCCAATTCGCTCTTATCAAACGGCCTCGGGCCTAATTTGTTTAAATCAAACGTCATTTGGCCCATTTATTCATGCCAAACAACCCCTAGCCCAATCATTCATGTCAAACGGCCTTTGGCCCAATCATTCATGTCAAATGGCCTTAGGCCCAATTCGTTTATGTCAAACAGCCTTTGGCCCAATTCATTTTCATGTGTCATATTTGTGTGTGTCACATATTCGTGATCATGATCATATTCGTATTCAATTAGTCTTATGCAAAAGACTGATTTATCCACAATTCAAAATACAAATCCATAAGGCTCATACAAAAGTAACATTTGGAAAAGAACGTACTTGAACATATCTTTAATAAGATATTACTCACAATGATCTCGCGGATGATTTGTCCTTGCGCTTGACCTTACATATATCATAAACATAACATATTGGGTCACAAACGATTCAATCCATTCTAAATTTTATCCACTCCTCGCAGGCCTCTTTCTTATCCTTTTAATTCATTTATAATGTTCAATGCATGCCTAAGAGTGCTCAGAAATGAAAGAGAATGGAAAATGATCCATAGAACAACTTTTCAAAATTGCTGAAGTAGGGCTCTTCGCTCGAGCGCAGCTTTGGTCACTCGAGCGGACCCCCTTTAGCCTGTAAAAGTTATGGTTAC